GAATGTGGCTCATAATCTCCTCAGTCAGAGTGCAGAGTTGCCGGGCCAAGGGCTCCGAGGGCTCCAAGGGCCCCGTCGTCTGTGGCTGGTCTGCCCCCCAATCCACGCAGCCAGTCCCCTCTGCATGACTCAGCAGGGCAGCGTAGCACCTTGGCTGTCCTTGCCTGACCTGCCCCTGAACAGCTCAGGGCCACCCTCACTGTAGCCTTCTGTGCACTATGGAAATCCATCCAGTTGAGGACCCAGAGAAGGACCTATGGACCACGAGGGAGCCAGGGAAGGTCCCGAGGGAGTGGGCTCAGGGTATGGTGCCGGGCACCGGGGCCAGGGCTCCTGCAGCACCAGGAGCAGGTGTGGAGACAATGTGCTACCCAGGGGCCAGAAGGCCACCCGGCCAAGCGGGGGGAGGAACGCGGGAGGTGGCCTGAAAGGGAATAGCGGGAAGGAGGTGGCAGAAAGCCTTAGCAGGTGAGACCTGGGCTCGCTGCGGTGTGGCCACAGACGGGCAGGGCCGAGGCCCGCTGCCCTGGGGGAGGGGACGGGTGGTCTCCTGAGCCATGCCAGCCATGGGGGCAGTTGGCTCTGCTCATTTGCTCTGGGGGTGTTGGGGTCAGGGCCCCCAGATTTGAGCAGGGCTCTGAGCCTGGGACCTGGAGCCACCCTTTGTCCCCTTCCAGGCTATGCTCCTGTCACTGGGATGTGCCACCCTGTCCGCAGCTGCACCCTGAACCACGAGGACGGCTTCTCCTCAGCGTTCGTGGTGGCCCATGAGACTGGCCACGTGTAAGTGGACTCACCATCCTTGTTGTCTGAGGAAGGTCGGGGTTCAAAGGGCCCCACTGCTCCTCTGTGCCCTGAGAGGGACAGGCCCTGTATGAAAAGCCCTTGGGATGTGATGTCCTGCCTCCGTGCTGCACAGGACAAGCTGGAGGCCCACTTTCTGCTGAAGGCCCCAGGCAGGAGCTGGGGGCTTTCCACCCATTATGCCACTCAAGCACCTGGGCAGGGTGGGGGGGGTCTTCTTACCCCATTTTACAGATGTGTAACTGAGGCTCTGAGGGAGCCTTCCCCAGGAGCATAGAACTGGAGTTGGGGAAGTTACTCCGCCTGGCTGTGCACGCTGCTGGGTGTGTAGAGAGGGCTGTGGATGCCTCTGCCTCCACTGCATTCTCATGTAACAGTGCTCTGCCTTGGGGACAGGATACCTGAGGGGGCTGCTGCTGGATGTTGTCACCTCAGAGTGCACCTGACTTTAAAGTTAGCTGGTAGAAAATGGGTACCACCTTGCTCAGGGCAGACCAAGCCAACTAAGGTGGGGGGTAGCTCGGGGAGGTTAGGGGTGCCCTCTGAGCATTAGGGTGGGGTGGAGCTGACAGGTGAGTGCAGCCAGGTGAGGGTCCAGTGAGGCTGCCTTGTCTTCCCACACAGGCTGGGCATGGAGCACGATGGGCAGGGCAACCGCTGCGGTGATGAGGTGCGCTTGGGCAGCATCATGGCTCCCCTGGTGCAGGCAGCCTTCCACCGGTTCCACTGGTCCCGCTGCAGCCAGCAGGAGCTGAGCCGCTACCTGCAGTGAGTACCACCTGTGTCTCCCAAAGACGAACCCGAAGTGCCGGACTCAGTGCCTCCAGACAGGACGGGGGTATCCCATTGTTGGGGGCTAAGTTTTGGATGGAAAGTGGTTATGACAGCTGCACCTTTAATGGACGCCTGGTCCTGGGTAGCTTATGCCAAAGAAAACAGGTGCAGCAGGGAAACTGAGGCAGCACAGCCTAGGGCTGGGGTGTGCAGGCAGGCCCACCCCCGAGGCTCCATGAGGGGCCTCAGCTGCCTCCTGGGCTGGATGGCCAGTCCTGTTGAAGGCAGCTTGTGGCACCCATGTGTCCCCTCCTAGCTCCTATGACTGCCTGCGGGATGACCCCTTCACCCACGACTGGCCAGCGCTGCCCCAGCTCCCGGGGCTGCACTACTCCATGAACGAACAGTGCCGCTTTGACTTCGGCCTTGGCTACATGATGTGTACCGCGGTGAGTGTCGGAGCCCACGACACCTCCAAGGGCTGGGCGGGGGGAGTCTGCCCCAGATCGGCCTGGCTTCCTGGGAGGCGGCTGGTGTTGGGTGGCTCCCTGACACAGGGTGGAGCAGCCCTCCAAAACAGCAGCCTCTCCCTCCATACCCACTGCTCTTTCCCCAGTCGGCACCCAGTGCCCTCCTGGCTGGCCCAGACATGGCTTTAGGAGGGATTGAGGCAGTGGAGTGTTCAGCAGGGGAACAGCGGGTGATCTAGGGGGCCTTCAACTACCGCGCCTCA